AAAATAAAAAAGAAAAAATCTAAAAAAAAAAAAAAATAAACACAAAAAAAAAAAAAAAAAAAAAAAAAAATTCCATTAATCAATATACCAAAAATAGCAATAGAAACAAAACAGATTTTTGCCGGCTTCCCCCACCGGCCGCGGGAGGGTCTTGGCCCCGGGAAGGGGAAGTTGACGGGCGACCTCCGCTGAGAACCCGCCCCCCCCCCGCCCCCACGTCCCTGGAGCCGGGTCCACTCGTGCGCGCCCAGGCCTGCGCCCAGGGCGACTTTAGCCACTTTGGGGCCTGGAGTGCGACTGCCAGGCTCGCGCTGGGAAGTGAGCCGAAGGGATGAGGGGGAGGGAGGGAGGGGGCAGAAATGCAGCTTTTTAAAAGGATTTGGCTGCAAGGCCACCCTGGGGCTCCATTATTGGCTGCTGGGTAGGTGTGATCTCGCTCCTCCCCCGCCCCCCCCACCACCCCGCCTCTCTCTCTCTCTCACACACACACACGCCTTAATTCCATGCCAAGCGTGCCAAGTGGGCCTCGGGGTCATGCTGACATGATAGGAGACTGCAAGGTTTCCATGGTTACGAAAGCAAAGTTTCTAGGTGTGAATTTTTAAAAAACATGTGGGAGCTCTTTATATCGCAGGCTGGGACCCAGGAGAAGTGGCTGAGAGCGGCACTGGCCTTCTCCACGGGACCTGCTTTCGGGATGTTGGTTGGACTTTTGCCCTCACGGGCAACTGTGAGTCCAACAAAGTGGTTAGGTCCTTCTGGATGAAAGGTGGTGAGGTTTTCCTGCCCAGTTAGATGGAAACTTGTCGTTTTCTATGTTTATTTTCCATATTATTTTATATTAGTTTCAGGCGAACAGCATAGTGGTTAGACAATGTAGTTTTCTGTAGTATCCTAATAAATCAGCGATAAGATGAATAACAGCTAATACGAATGCCAACTGCTACCAGTCACCATGCCCGGAGTCCACAGAGCCCTATGGTTGGAGCTTTGCAGGTTATGTGCTTCCACTCTTCTGACTGCCCTATGCAGTGAGGAGTAGCACCCCATTTTGCAAATATGAAATGTCCCATAGCCGGGATGCAGCCCTCAGGCCTGTCTGACTCTGAAGGCCACACTGTTTTCATCATGCTACACCATAGAGTACAGCTATCCCCTAGTTACATTTAATTTTTCAACATAAAGGATTATATTTAATTTTGAAAGGGGATATTTCCTATATCAGAGAAGACTTCTCATCCAGTTTCTAAATTTCTTCCATTAACATTCATTGAACAAACTTTCCTTGCGTGTCCACTGTACACCAGAGGTTCAGGACTAACCCAGAAAAATAATACTAGAGCCCCCTCCATGGAAGTCAGGGAGAGCAGGGGGAAAGCAAGAGGAGTGGAGGCGGGGAGGTAGGGAGAGAACATTTTCCAGCTAAATTTTGATTCTTACGGAGACAGCCCTTCAGAAAGCAAAATGTCTTAATGTTAATGATAGCAGACATATCTATATAGTAAAAGTCTAAGTGACCATCCGACTGTCCGACTGGTAGCTATGACGAGCACTGACCACCAGGGGGCAGATGCTCAATGCAGGAGCTGCTGAGCTGCAGAGACTTGGCAGCTGCAGTTCTCGGGTGATGCACCCGGAACCAGAGAGGAGGGAGCCTGATTCCGGGGTGTGTCACCTGAGAACCACCCTCTTGCAATCCGGGACCCCTCGGGGGGTGGGGGATGTCAGAGAGCCAGTTTCAGTCTGATTCCCCACAGGCCAGGCCGAGGGACCCCACCGGTGCACAAATGCATGCACCGGGCCTCTAGTAATATGATAACTGGTAATCCTTGACAGGAAGTAATTACATCAGAACTATAAAGGGAATTGAGATTTATTAGGAAACACTCTAGGAAAATCATGAGGAATTGTTCCCAGATCACGCCACCCTGTTGCCCTTGGGATTGTCACCAGTGGCCTGCGTCCTGCATGCAATTCCAGCGGCCTCTCTTCTGTGCCTGCCTTGCTGACTGCTCTGTGGTATTTGACACTGGTGACTAGTCTTTCTTTGAAATGTTAACCTCCTATTGGCCTCAGAGCCCGCTGCTCTCCTGACTCACCCTTCCTTCGGCTCCTTCACTGCACTCTGTGCTCTCCCTTTTCCTGTGACTTCATAGACGGAGGGGCTTTCTTCATCTCTCCCAGGCAGACTTCCTGCCACTGCAGCTGACCTGCAACATCGCCTTCTTTGATCTTAACTCACCGTCAGCTCTCTGTGCTCTTTATTTCCAGCCATTTGTGGGGCATCGGCCACCACTGGATATTCCAAAGGCACCTGGCACCCTTCCCATGTGAAGTGGGACTTCAGTATCTTCTCTAACTTCCTGTCTGTCCCCTCCTAGCTGTGCAGTTGGTTCCTCATTCTGAACACCACTTCTTGAACTGGGCTCTCATGGTGTGCTGAGAAAGCTAACCGTCTAAGGCAGTGGTCGGCAAACTGCGGCTCGGCAAACCACGGCTCGCGAGCCACATGCGGCTCTTTGGCCCCTTCAGTGTGGCTCTTCCACAAAAATACTGGCTCTTCCACAAAATACCGGCTTCTGCGCATGGGCCACAAAAGTTTCAATCGCACTGTACGTGCGCGCCTGCACGTGGTATTTTGTGGAAGAGCCACACTGAAGGGGCCAAAGAG